TGTCCATTTTCAAGGATGATTTTATTTTTACTTTTAATTGAATGCATGGATAGTTTAATGTATGCACCTGGAGTTAGAGAAACGTTTTATTTTCCAAACAGAGTCAGCAGATTATGGCTGTATTCATAGTTGATATTATTCAGTGTTGTCTTTTTCTTTTTATTAATAATGTTTCCATTATTTTTAGCCTTTTTTACATGTGAATGAGTCTATTATATTTCTATTATCAATGAGTATGTTGCAGATGGAGTTTGGTAAGCCTCTATGTGTGTTTAAATGAGACATAATTGAGCTATGGCCAGAGAGATGTAACGTGAGTTTTCTTGTTAAGCATGTTGTAGTATAATTAATTATCAATTTGGATTGGCCACAAACACAGTTCCTTAAGAGACAGGTGAATTCGTAAATAATACTGGTTCTCTGTAATTTGGATCTTACAGATGAATTATTATTGACAATGAGATTAGCAGTTTTAAATGTTTCATAGTAAATAAATAATTTAATTTTCTTGTTTTTATCGGCTGGAGTGGCATATTTTTTATAATATTTCTAAGGAAAAATTCATCCTACTTATTGTTTGATTTTTATAGAATATGTTAATGTTATTGTTTTTAACTGTATGTTCAGTTTTGACTTAGAAAGAAAAAGTCTAATATGGTAATCTATAAGAAGGTTTGGAAAACTGTTATTAACAAGCTTTTGTTTCAAGTTGTGAAGTTCTTTAAAGAAAAGCGGGTGAAAAGATGAATTCTCGTGCACTCTTATGGGGAAATGTTTATAGCACCTATTTTATATTTAAGAGTACATTGACTAGTAAAATTAAGGTGGCAAGGACAGAATATATTCTGAGAATTTCCATGCGTTGTCGATATGTAAAACAAAAACACACACTTAGTAAAAAAAAAAAAATAGAAAATGTTACTAATATTCAGAAAGAGTCTTTCGCAGCAGCGTCTTTTAAAATTTTTGAAATTCGAAAAAAAAACTATACAACATTTCGCTTTTGTTTATCATCACTTGCCTTGATAAAGTCGGATGACGAAATACTTAGGCAAAAACTAAGTTCTGTTTTCCTATTTTATTAAATTTGTTTTTTCTGATATATTCTGAGAACACATTGTCGGCATGGAAAACAAAAACACACACTTACTCAAAACTTTCGTCCAGGTTCTTACAATATATCAACATTCTTGGTAGATTTTCTGTTGTCACAATGTCAAGGAACAAAGTAGATGAAAAGAAAAAGAATAAAAAATGAATTTGACTAGATTGAAAAAAAAAAAGATTTTCCCAAAAAACATTCTTTCAAAAATTTCGAAACTAACAGCTTCTCATTTTCGTGCGCATGTGGAGAAGTGACAACATTAACAAAACCAAATGAAACGCGTCACAACTTATTTTTCCAATATGTCATACTATATATATATATATATATATATATATATATATATATATATATATATCACTTTAAACTACAACTTTATATCTATCTGTATGCATATATATATATATCATTTTAAACTACATTATCTATCTATCGACATATATATATATATATATCACATGAAACTACAAAATTATCTATCTATCTAGATCTCTCTATTGTTATCCACAGACAGACTATTTCGCTGTTTCACAGGCGGGAACAAAACCCGACTGATGCTACCCCTGAGCTATCAGCGCTCTGTTGAGTGTGAATTTTTTACGTAGTTATTCTTTGAATAAACACGTCAATGACAGATAGGGTTCAATTTTTGGAACAGCTTTGCAATATTAGTACACACACACACACACACACACATATATATATATATATATATATATATATATATATATATATATATATATCACTTCAAACTATAACATTATATGTAATTTCTTATTTACATTATTCGGACTATTGTCCTCATCTTTGTCGCCATATTTATTACAACGTTTTAGTTTGAGATGGCCACTAACGCCGACAAATATGCGTTGATGCATAAGCAGGGTAAACCCAGTTGCAACAACCCATTCAAGTTTGAAAGCGATCCTCGCCCAAGACATGGGTCTAGCTCCGGTACAAATTCGAAGTCGGCTCGATGGGTTAGTTCAGGCCAACCACCCATATATCGGCAGACGAATAGGTGGGAAAGGAAACTCCCGTCATGACAATACTGCAATAAAGTAGCACACTCCGTGTCGAATTGTTGGACGAAGCCGAACGCCCTGTCCAGGGTCATAAGTCAGAACATAACCCAGAGGTTAATTACTTCCAAGAAAATTACCACTAATAGGAAATCCAACGACGTAGATATGAAATTAGTGTCTAAAGGTACCGTATCGTTTTTGCACCAACTACCAAAAGGTGAACTTCTTCACTAAACCTACTCACACCCCATTACCCGGATGTTCGACTGTATTAATAAAATAGACAAGGCCACATATATTACGAAACACAACTTATTGAAGGGATATCGGTGTGTACCCCTGACCGAGCGAGCTAAGGAGATTTCTGTTTTCGCGACTCCCGATTGTTTGTACCAATATCGCGAAATACCTTTCGGGATGAAAACTTCTCAGGCCACCTTCCAACGAATGATGAACCACTCTTTACGAGATCTGGCTGGAGTCGAGAAGTATATCGACGATATAGTCGTGTACAATAACACCTGGGTGGATCATATGATATCTCCTTGAAAAGTTGTCGACCGATTGAGGCATGCCAACTTCACCATTAATTTCGCAAAAAGTAATTTCTGCTAGGCAGAGGTCGCGTATCATCTCAGGCATGTTGTCAGGGGTATAGCAAAGTACCCAGTCGCGACCAACATGAAAGCTTGAGAAGATTTCTCGGGATGACGGGTTATTATTGCAAGTTCTGTAAGAATTTCTCCGATGTAGCCTCGCCACTTACCCAATTGTGGAAGAGGAAATTCAAATTCGATTGGTCGCCCCCCCCTACTCAAACTGTCAATGATCCTTTGATTGTCGTGTTAAAACCCTACCTTCAAATCTCCTGAGTTTAATCGACTATTAAGCTTAGCCATAGATGCAAGCAATCACGACATTGGTGCTATATCACTACAAACCGACAGAAAGCGGCTCGGATTGAGGAATCGGAGAGCCGAGTTCGAATTCCACTCAAATCCATTACATTCGCTTACGTGTATACCTTTGGGAAAGGTATGAATCCTCTTCTATCCCCCCAGCTATGGGTAAATAGCCTTGGATAGACTATCGCAGAAAGAAATGTCAACCTACTGCGGCAAAAAATCTGCCTCATATATCGAGAGATACATGATCGCCTAAGCGATATGGCACATAACTGACTGACTGTCAGAAATCGTATCGAATGTCTTGTCAGCTATTTCGCCGGAGGAATTACTCTGCTGTTGAAAAAGAAACACTTAAACTTACAAAACCCCGAAGGGTGCCAGGAAAATTCGGTGACTCTGAAATAAAAATCGATTGAAAATTGATTTTAGGAGTGAGGATTTCGGCATAAGCTCACTCCCCTATATTCTTGAAAGAGAAATAAGGCTATATATTATATTATTTATTGAAAAATAAATAACTACCTAAAATTTCATTTATTTACTACTTTTTTCAATAAAATAATTTAAAAAGAAGATGCAAGTACTAACTTAGATAAATCGATTTTATTTGCTTGAAAACAAGAGAATATACTAATTAAATAAATTTATTTAAAAAATATTTATTTTAAAATATTGGAATACAGAAAATATGGCCCTGGTATTGTTAAAATGAGGTTTAATCTAGACCCCCATAGTTAATAATATTTATTAAAAATATTGAGGAAGGAGGCCTAGTCTTCTAAGCCCTCACTTCTGCAAGGAAGGCTCTGGTATTATCTGGTTTTATTTGAACCCTACGTTTTTCAGTTATTTAAAAATCTAGAGGAGGGTGTCTTTACCCCCCCCCAATGCCCTACTCCAGAACGGCCCTAAAATCAATTTTCATAGTTACCGAATTTTTCTACATTGTCAGAATTACCGAATTTTCCGAATAAACGAATCTTCCGTTACCGAATTTCCCTAAATTCCTTCGAAGTTTCTTCGTCCCATCAGACTACTCTAGTACAGTGTAACCCGGATATAAGAGAGTTGTCGGGACCGGAGAAGAAGTCTCTTATATCCGGGTTTCTCTTATATCCGGGTTTGGTCTATTTTGTTTAGGTATGGGAACACTTCATATAACGCTTTTTACGTACAGAACACTAGTTTATTTAACAGTTATAGACATAAAAACACAGACCAAAATACATTTTTCAATCAGTTTTCAAAATAATTCAATCAAAATTTACTTTTTTCTTAAAAAAGTCAGTCATTTTGATTGTACAGAAATCTCTTTTGTTAACATCATGAATACTTTCATACAGTCCGTAAATCATTTTCAATGCGCCATCAGGATTACTGCTTTTTGCTTCAAAGTAGGCTGTCAGAGTTTCAAGCGCATTCAATGCAGCCAGAGAATTTGGCACTGGTTTGTCACTTTCAGAAACTTCAGAACTTACACCTTCAGCATCATTATCTTCGTCAAAATCTTGATCATCCGATTTTATACCATGTGTGATGTCCGTGTCAGTCAGTTCTCCATAACATTGTGTACGGTCGTCGAAGCTGATAAATTCGTCAAAATCTGTTTGCTCCATGCCCGATGGTGGAGACACTTGATCATTTTCGTCGAGTATTTCTTCCACTTCAGCCTGTGATTCAATGACAAAGCCGGCCTTTTTAAAACAATTTTGAATTGTTGACGGTTTGACCATGAAAAGTGCTCGCTTCATCATGTGCAAAACAGTTATCTGTTTGGCCACCTCGGACAGCGGCACTGGCGGTGTAGCATCGATCGCTGCGATTTGCATTCGAACAAGTTCCCGACGATAATACGCTTTGAATGAACGAATGATGCCTTGATCCAAAGGTTGAATGAGATTGGTGGTGTTTGGTGGCATGAACGACAATTTAATGTTTGACAGATTTGTACCTGGCAGTAAGTTATGACAAGTTGCATTGTCCAAAAACAGAATAATCTTTCGATTTTGAGCAATTCATAACGTCAGTAAACAGCTGACTAGTCTTCCAGGCTTTACGATTAGCGAAGTAAGAAAACGGCAGAGTTTTGACATTTTTAAAGCAGCGTAGTTTTGCCGACTTACCAACAACTACAGCTTGCTTTTCACTGCCGTCCATGTTTGTGAACTGAAGCATCGTGAGTCTGTCTTTGGGAACTTTTGTCCCATTTGAATGTTCGTCGCCGGCAAATCGCAAAGGTCCAGACGGCATGGCTTTGTAGAAAATTCCCGTTTCATCACAGTTCCAAACATCTTTTGGATCATATCCACGAAAAAGTTGCGGCAAAACGTTTGTCACCCATTCGTTGGCAGAACCGTGATCTGCTGACGTTGATTCGCCGTGAAATTTTTTGAAAGAAACGTTATTGACCTGCTTCCAGCGCATGAGCCAGCCATTGCTCGGTTCAAAATCAACTTCAAGATTTACGGCCAGTTGTGATGCTTTCTGCCTGATGACGTGATCGGTGACGGTAGCTCCTTGAGCACATGCTTGCGTAAACCATTGTGTAAGCGCTTCGTTAACGTCCTTGTGCACGGATTGGCGCTTTCGTTTGCGATTAGTGTTTCCGTTCATTTGCATGCAAGATCTGAGATCGTCTTCTTTCTTGAGAATTTTTGCTGTTGTTGAATAACCGATTCCGTACTTTTTGGCTGCAGCGGCCAGTTTGAGTTTCTTCACTTTGACATCGTCGATGAGCTCCAACTGTTCAGAAATGCTCAGAGTTTTTCGTTGAGACGCCGACGCCGACATCACTAATCTCAATGATCGCAAGCAAACGGTTTTCAGTGGCAAAATTAACAAACAGACAAACTTCTGACTCAACAGAACAGTGGGTAAAGTGAAAGTGCTGTCCAGTAAATGCAACGACAAGCAAAGTCGGCAAAAAAGCGGGCAGCGCTACCCTTAGACACACAAAGCAAAATCATAAGGTAGAGGGTGTCTCCTACAGACACAGATTGGACACACCGTTTCTCTAGACTAGTCAAGATTAAGTCATTGAACTTCACTCTCTCTCTGATTGACCTCTCTTTGACCGATTTACGACATCACACTGTCACTCAAAAGGAAACGAACTCTCTTATATCGGGGAGGACGGGACCAGAGAAAATCTCTCTTATATCCGGGTCCCTCTTATATCCGGGTCTAATTTATATACATTAACACAGGCTCTAATTAGGGACCAGAGAAAATCTCTCTTATATCCGGGTTTCTCTTATATCCGGGTTTCTCTTATATCCGGGTCTAATTTATATACATTTAACACAGGCTCTAATTAGGGACCAGAGAAAATCACTCTTATATCCGGGTTTCTCTTATATCCGGGTCTCTTATATCCGGGTCTAATTTATATACATTAACACAGGCTCTAATTAGGGACCAGAGAAAATCTCTCTTATATCCGGGTTTCTCTTATATCCGGGTCTCTTATATCCGGGTCTCTTATATCCGGGTTACACTGTTACTGATCATGACCTGCTAAAATTTCTAATAAAAATCGACGATTATTGTGACGAGTTGACTATTCAACACATAAAGAGGCATCGACAACGTGTGACGAACGAGGACGTAAAACATCTTTTTCTTTTCTTTTTTTTTTTTTTTGAAAATTGCCATTAATAGAATTTTTCTTCTTTTTGGGAGGGAAGTGTGACGCAGACACCGAGGATAGGCTCATATAGGCATAACTAAAAAGCAAAAAACAAAAAAAAACAAAATCCCAACTTATAAAAAACAAAAAAAAAACCCTCAAAGAGAATTAAATAAAATAAAATGTTTTAAACTTGCGAGCGAATCTGTTTTATGATCAGCCTTCCCCCTCCTTTTCTTTTTCCTTTCTTTCTGCCTTTGCTTTATTTTTTTTTCACACTTATGCCAAGGGCACGTGAACTTTGAGGCACTCACCTCCGTGGATGACCTGGTTCTAAATTCAAGTGACCATCGAGCAATTGACCCCGAGTTAACCCCAGACAACTGCGATTACATGATCAGATCCTGTTGAGAGTAGCTCGGGTCTTTGTCCATCACACGATCACCTCGTGATTGCAATCCATTCTCCTGCATATCCGGTCAAGGACGAAAGGAACGTATGTAAAGAATCTTAGATAACAAAAAGAAAAAAAAAGGAAAAAAGTTTCCTATCTGACTGCCCTGATTCTTATACGGATGGCCCACCGAGATAAACAAAACGGCAAAGTCTATCGATTTTAGAAGAAAAGGATACCGTGGAGTGTGGATAAACATCCATCTGGATATGAAAAGGTTACCACATCTATGTGATTGGTCAGTTATGTGCCATGCGTGATACACGCTTAGGCGATCATGTATTGAAAGATACTTGATTGACGATGCAGATTTTTTCCCGCAGTAGGTTGCCATTTCTTTCTGCGATAGAAAGGCAACATGGTCTGTCCTGCTATTTACCAATAGCTGGGGGGGGGGGAGAAGAGGATTCATTTCTTTCTCAAGCGCATAAGTGAATGCAATGGATTCGATTGGAATTCGAACTCGGCTTTCCGATTTCTCAATCCGTGCCTCCGATCTATCGATGTGATACTGAACCAAATTGACCAATAAACGTCTGTATAGGTCACCGTGGAGCTCATTCCGAATAGAAAAGAAATTCCGAATAGAAAAGAAATCCAGAAAAATTACCCGCAGAGAAAATATTGTTTTCGTATAAGGACTTGCCTCGGCAAATCAAAACTATTTGGAGATTAACAACACTTTTGAACCAAGCTCATCAAAACAGATAGGTGATTTCTTGGTTTGATCTTGCCATATATATGTATACTAGCAGCATGGCCCGGCGTTGCCCGTGCTTGATTCAAAAATCGTACGACTCATACAGCAATCGCTATCACTTGACTTTTTTGCACTTCCTGGCCTTTAAAGTTGTGCCCTTTGCCGTGCTGATGTTGCTACATATCTTACTTCTTGCCTATCTCACACTGCGAATTTTTTCTAAGCTCTATGCTAAACATTAAATCTGTTACGAAAAAAGAACTAAACAAAATCAACACAAAGCGATCAGCTTTAAAAAAGGACTCGTAACTGGAAAAAACGAATGAAAAAAGAATGTTAACAACAAATATTTTTTCACACCCAACCCAGTTCTGCGGAATCAGAATCAACGTTGAGTTTAAGCAAGCGAATGAGCCAATTGGACTAAAGTGCCATGCAGATTTAAATTTTTCCCACTTTTGACGAATGCAGCTATCGATTTTTTTGCATGCTAGTTAATATTGGTGTCAGTCAGCTGTTGGCTCTCACACTGGCCAATAGAATCTCCCTGCCAATTCGTGGCCCCCAGCTATAGGCTCTCACTCTGGCCAGTAGAAACTGGCCGCAAACTATATGAAAACTGCCGTAGAAACATGAAGAATCGATTATTTCCACTATCGATGTGAGTTGGGAAATGCAAAGTCGGTCTTGGCCTTCCCGATAACTTGGGGCATGTAAATTTTGGTGCAAATCCGTCGAAAATTGCGGCCGTGCATTCGTTACACACACACCCACACACCCACCCTGCCTTTTATAGATAGAGATATTCGCTGCTTGGTTAGACAATTTTTTGGCTTATTTGTTCCTGTATTTCTGTGTAAATAAAAGTTTTATTTTGTGTCTGTTTTTCGTTGATTCCATTGTGTCACTTATATTCCTGAGTGTACTCTGAAAAAGGATACCACATTTCCTTTTTTCTCCTCCTCCTCATATATATATATATATTTGTATATTTAGGCAGCAATCCTTCCATTATGCATGTTTCATTAAAAACGACAGACAAGGTACTACGGTTGAGCTTTTTATTTAATTTTTCTTGTGTTCTGACAAGAGTTTTCTTTTCTGGACAAAGAGTGTGTAAGAACTGTCCGAATGTTCTGTATTTCCGAGCGCTTTCGGCTATACCTTTAGCCATTATCAAGGATAATTCAATTATCAGCTTAGTAGAGTGTGTGTGTTCTGTGTATGTTCTTTCTCAAAGAACTTAACAACGTTAAAAAAACACTAATTAACAACGGTTTCCCTAACTACCTTATAGACCAGTGGTTTTCAACCAGGGTTCCGCGGAACCTTAGGGTTCCGCCAGTACAGTCCAGGGGTTCCGCAATTTCTAAATTAGAACACGAACAAATAAACAACATGTTAAATTCAAATTCGAAAATCTATTTTATTAACCCACAAACTGTCAGACGGCCGATTAACTGTTGTTATTTTTTTTCAATTTCCAAATCATCGAAACTCTTTTTTACAGATTTTACAACCATGGATAGATTTGTGAAAAAAACGCAAGACAGATGCGGATGAAGAGACACAGGATCTGAGGCACTCTTTTGAAGCTGAAACTACTACCAGCAATGCTGCCTCATCGAAATCAAGAAATGGTGGAATTAACCTACAACTAAAAGTTCGTCAATATTGTGAAAACTACATAGCTCTGGGATTTACTTGGACTGGAAACCCAGAGTGCCCTTCACCTTTGTGTATTATTTGTGGGGAGAAGCTGGCTAACAGTGCTATGGCACCAGCCAAACTGAAACGACATTTAGTAACTAAACATCCAGAGTTGTCGAGCAAAGATGAACAATATTTTCAACGACAAATGAAATATAATAAAAAGGCAGGTTTCTAAGTTTGCCAAAAAAGTTCAAGTTGAGTGACAAAGCACAAGAAGCAAGTTATGCTGTGGCGGAGATAGTTGCAAGAAAAATGAAATCTCATACCATCGCTGAAACTGTAATTTTACCTGCATGCCAAGAAATAGTGAGGATAATGTTTGGAGGGATGCTGTATCAGAAGTAAATGAAATTCCACTTTCTGACAACACAATAAGTAGGCGCATTCAAGACATGTCAGGAGACATTGAATGCAATCTTAAATCAGAAATACTGAAACATAACTTTTTGCACTTCAAGTTGATGAGAGTACGGACATTAGTGGTAGAGCACAACTCCTTGTAATTGTTCGATTTATTGATGATGAAGCTATTGTAGAAGACTTCCTGTGTCTCAAAGAATTGCCAGGGACAACGAAAGAACAAGATGTATTTGATGTTTTGAATTCCTATTTAGAGTATTGTGGATTAAACTTGAAAAACTGTGCTGGTATTTGTACAGATGGTGCCCCTGCAATGACAGGATGTCTTAAAGGCTTTGTCTCAATCGCACAAAAACAAAATCCAAATATTATCCATACTCATTGTTTCATTCATAGAGAAGCACTAGTGGCTAAAACTCTTGGATCTGAACTAAAATCTGCATTGGATATGGTAGTTAAAATAGTTAATTACATCAAGATGAGGCCACTTAAATGTCGACAGTTTGAGAAACTTTGTGTGGGTATGGAAGCAGAACATTCCACCTTAATCCAGCACACAGAAATACGATGGTTGTCAAGGGGGAAAGTATTGTCTCGTTTTTACGAATTAAGAGAAGAGTTATTGACCTTTTGTTTGCAAGAAAACCTGAAAGACTTTGTAGAATGTTTAAGTAATGGCCATTGGTGTTCGAACTAAACCTCTTGAACAATAGCATGCAGGGCAGGAACGAAAATATCTTGTCTTCTACTGACAAAATAAATGCTTTTCAGAAGAAATTGACAATATGGAAGAAACGCATAGCTGCAGGAAATTTGGAAATGTTTCCATGTGTTTTTAAAAGGAATTGTCAAGAAATTAGGCTACTGATTTTGAACCATTTGGACACTTTGTTAACAAATCTTGACAAATATTTTCCATCAATATCTGTTGAGCA